AAGAGATAAAGGCGTCATACTCCAATTAGTGTACAGGAGAAATTTTGTTTAAAGAGAAAAGATGAATAGATAGCTGGAAACAGAACAGACAAAGAATAATAAGCATAATGATCTGAACTGAGATAAGATAAATAAAATAAAACTAAGAAAGTTAAAAGAGGGGAGAAGCTATATAGAAAATGTAAAATGGTAATAAGATATGGAATGGTATATAAAATGAACATGAATTTGAATTTGTGTCTGTATGAAGAGATGTAACCCGGGATCAAGCAGCTTTCAGAAAAGATGTTTTATGTTTTTATGTTTTATGTTTTGTTTGTCTGTGTGTTGTCTTTGAAAATTAATAAAATTTGTTTTTTAAAAAAACAATTATAGATCTTATTAATGTATTTTCGGCTCTATATTGTGCTTTATAGCTTATGTTATTCATCTAGAAATGTTATAGTGAGCTGGACATCATATATAAACCAACTAATCAACCAATTAGTATACATCCCTTCCCATCATGCTTTTCATCTGATTACAAGCAATGTTATACAAAGCACACAAAAGGAATAAGGCAAGCAGGAGAGAAATAAATGGAACTATGGTTAAATCTAAGCTAAATACTGTGCACTATACCATTCCAACCCTATCAGCTTCATCTAACTATTGTTTTCTCTGTCTTCTTCTGCATCCATTAATTGTTCCTTCAAATATTTGTTATGTTATTTATCCTGATTAATATGACTAAATCATTTCAAAAAATGTGCTTCTCTTATACAGGTATTTAATCCACATTCATTCAGTACTTATTAAATCTTAATGCTAACTCTTCTTGTTTCATCACCTATTTACAGTTCCCCTCAACTTAAATTTATATTTCTCCTGACCAAATCTCAATTTCTTTTAACAAAGTGAGCAAAGCATGCTCTTATATGCAGTCATTCTCACTCTATTTTTTTCCCCAAATATTCCTTCTTGTCAGTGCACCATTTTATCTCCTACCTTTATACCTATCTATCAGCATTCATACATTTTAAACTTTTTCTGCTCTTTAATTCAATTCTGCTAATTACATGGATTTAAATATTTCAAAGAGTTCAATGATTCAATCCATATTTATATTAATTTTCAAATCAATATCTCTCTACATTTCTTCTAACAATCAATGAGAATCATTTGAGTTATCATCCAATAACATGGCATTGTCTACATATATAAATATAGGAATGTTCATATACCCATGAATGTCATCAGAAAAGTAGTTATTATATATACTAACTTATAATGGGTATCAATCAGTGACATTATCAAAGTAAACCATCAAAATCCATGTGCTAAAAAAGTTTACTGGCAGGGGTGTGATTCTACCAGTTCGCACCTATTCGCTAGAACCGGTTGTTAACATTCTAAGCAGTTCGGGGAAACGGTTGTTAGAAGAAATTACTGGCCTAATCCTGTAAGGATGACAGGAAGGAAACATTCTGGTGTTCCTTACAGAAACTACCCCTCCGTTAACTCTTATTACATTCTTGGCAGGACTAGACTTCTTGTCTCTGGAACTTCTCTGGAATTTCCCCCCCCCCCTCCTTTGCTGGTATTTTGCTTGTGTAGAGTGACCATTCAAAGTTACAATGGCACTGAAAAAAGTGACTTATGACCATTTTTCACACTTACGACTGTTGCAGCATCCCCACAGTCACGAGAGGCCAGGCAAGGAGATGCGTGCCTCGATGTGAGTGATATTGAGTTGGCTACACCCAGCCAATAACATGACCACCAAGCCATGCCCACCAACTAAGCCATGCCCACAGAACCGGTTGTTAAAAAATTTGAATCCCACCCCTGGTTACTGGGCCTCTCATCACTCATGCTTTGGTCACCTTGTGGGTTGCTATATACTCTACATGGGGCTACAGTTGTACAAGCAGAGTGATGAACAGGCCTTGTTATAACCATGTAACACCACTCTTTCATCAGCTGCATTGGTTACTAGTAAGTTCCAGAGCATAATTCAGGCTACAGGCATTACCTACAAAACCCTAAATATCCCAGGTATTGGAGAGGCCCAAGGTCTTTTGTAGTGGCTGTGCTGTGTGATCTGACAGAGCTAGCTCTTTAATACTTGGTGATCATCTCTAGCAGGACTAGGGAAGCTGGCCTTCTTTATCATAGTATTTTTTCCCTAAATCACCATCCTCTTAGAAATGCAGTTCTTCTTCACGTCTTCTGCCTTGAAGTGAACTCTAAAATCTTGGCTCTTTTCCCAGGCTTGGGCTAAGCACCTCCCTTTATGTGGGGAAGTGTTGTGGTAAACTGCTGCATAACTTGTAGAAGGGAAGAGAGCACAGGGATCCATCAATTCAAAATCATTGTTGAGTGCAAAGGAATAGTGATCAAGTGTTTGTCAGATAGCATTGGAGACAGCCAACAGTGTGTCTCTTGCGGCAGCAGTAAATTCTTGGCTAACTTGCTGGAATAGTTTGAGTGCAAAAGAAAAACAGGCATGAACTCTTCTGTCCTTGAAAAGGAAGGGACAGAATAGTAGAATAGGTAGAATAAAGGGACATAATGATCTAATTCCTGTTATCTTGGTTTTTTTTGTTTGTTTTTTTTGCATAACTCAGTGCCTGGAAAGGAATATGTCATAGTTTGACAGGGTTACACCAGGCAAATACTGTGTTGCTAAACACCCAGCCCCCCCCCCCCGTTCCTTGCTGCACAGCCAATGCAGGGCTACAAGGACGGCATGGGCCAGGGGGCCAGAAATGGGTACTAAGCTGATGTCTCTGAAGGTATAAAAGGATGCCATACCTTCCCCAAGGTCTGGCCTTCCTTACATGCATCTTGTCTGTATGTTCATGGAATAGTCTTTTGGCCTATTGTTGACTTAAGCGCATTGCCAAACCCTACAAAAATGTAAAAGTTAGGTTGTCCAGAACATTCACAAATGTTCAACCACAGATAAAAATGAACTGTACCTGCAGCTGCCATCCCTATTTGTCTAGGCCTATCCCCTGAATCCTACTGACCTTGGCGAAAGAATAAGTGGGGAAAAGAAGTGAAGAGTCTCACCTGCATCATTTCTTCAAAGCACAGGAAGAGAATATTGAATTCATTCTGATGTGTATACCAGCCTTTCACATGATCGAAGACCAAACTGCCAGCAACTGTTGGTTCAAGCAGAGAATGGAAATAAGAGTGGTCGTGCTTAAGTTAATTCAGATTCCTCACATGAGTTATATGGAAAATATTTTTCTATGAAACGTAGTATACACAAACACAATGTCAGTAATTCATAATGATTTTGAGGATAACTTCTTTCTAAGCGGCATGTATTATAAAATTAAAGTAAGAACGCTTTGGAAATGGAAAAAAGTTCCTAAAGATACCAACAATCTTTTTTTGCATTTTAAGGTGTGCAGGGGGCCATCAACTGTTTGTACACACACTGTTTGAAATTTTGAAAGTACTGAATGAAGGGGCTTATGACTCCTGCCTGAATTTATGACTGCTGCCATACTCCCATGATTGTGTGAACAATATTTGGGTTTTGGCAATCCGCCTGCCTTTACAAGGGATGCTGTAGTGGTCTCCTCTCCTATATTCTTGCCATATGGTCCCACTGGGTCCCTGTGGCCTCTTTCCTACCTCCATCACTGATGAGTCAGTTACCATTTTGGTGCTGTAGATCTCCTTCTGGAAGCAGCTAGTCCACCACGTGGCCTTCCTACATAGTGAAAACCATATGGCTGTGTCCAGGAAGTCGACATCATTTCGGAGCAGCCCCCAGTTCATTGTGGCCACTCCCAAAATGGTCTCTGCTTCCAAGGCAGACCCAAATGGCCCCCACGAGGCTGAGAGGCTGAGTGGCCTGCTCTCCTTCCCCAGTGTGATCTCTGGAGTTCCAGAGATTGTGTTGGAGAAGAAGAACAGGTTGTTCTGCCCCTCGGCCTGTTCCTCTACAGTGGAGGTTGCCTAGCTCCATTCCGCAAATGGCTGCAATTTTGGGAGCAGCTACCATGCATTGTGGGACCTACAGGATGCTGAAGGCTAGGAAGCAGGGCGTGGGCTGCCTCAGACAGTGAGGCAGGCCTTGGGAGGCCCGGGGCAGGCCACGAGTGGGCTGTAAAAGTGTTGCAGCACATGCCTGGGCTTCCCCAACCAAGGGACACACCATGCTCTGCTTAATTGCCAGTCTGCTTGCTTAACACTCGGGCAGAGCAGGGATGGGGATTGTTAAGCAAGGTGATCAGGTGTGTACCTTGCTTACTGATCATCATGACTTGTGCTCATAATAGGCAGGTTCCATCACAGTCGTAAGTTGAAGAGTACCGGC